CTGGCCCCGCCCCAGCCTCCTAGCTCCCCTGCCCCTAATGGACCCTGTCCCTTCTCTGCTGGAACCTTTGCCGGCTGCCTTCACCCCTTAACCCAGGACAGACACCGGCCGTGGGCACCAGGCGAGGCAGAATTCACTGCTACCCTGTGTTGGCATTTGACTCTTTTTAAAAAAGATATTTTTATTGATTTCCGAGAGGGAGGGAGAGGGAGAGAGAGAAACATCAGTGATGAGAGAGAATGATGGATCAGCTGCCTCCTGCACGCCCCACACTGGGCATCGAGCCCTTAGCTCAGGCCTGTGCCCTGACCGGGAATGGAACCGTGACCTCCTGGTTAAAGGTTGGAGCTCACCACTGAGCCACACTGGCTGGGCCGGATTCCCCCTTTTCATAAGAATACCAGTTGCACTGCATTGGGGTCCGCCCTGTGACCTCATTTTAACTTGATTGACAGGGTGACACCACCCAGCCTCCTTTAAAAGGGAAAGGACAGCGAGCGGTCACACGCCCCCCACCCCCTGAATCCGCAGACTTCCCGGGGGACACGCCGGCTCGCCCTGGCCCTGTCTCCCCGTGAGGTCCCGTTCTGAGGACCTGGGGTCAGGACTCCACCAGGGACTTGGAGTCCCTGTGCCGTCCTCCGTGATGGGGACTGTCGAGCCAAGGACGGGATGTCCGCTTTGGGCCTTATTTCAGCATTACTGACCCTTTTGAAGCGACGTTTCTCGAGCGGTCGGTGCTGTTGGAAATCAGAGCAGCGGGCGCCTGGGGGACCGGCGTGGGTTGGGCAGGAGGACGTCTGGGTGCCGGTCGGGTTTGTCTCCTGACCTGGTGCCGTTTCCCTGGGGCGGCTTTGCTGTCTGAGAAAACGCACTGACCTGCTTACTCGTCTCCGGAGACGCCCCGTGCTTCTCAGACTCGCAAAGAGACGCCTAGAAAATAGGGCACCTGCAGCCGCGTCCAGGGTGACCCGGGAGTTTGGTTTCTTGTGTGACCACTGGCGTGAATAATTCTCTCACAGGGGCAGGTGCTGTCCTGTTTTATCCTTTCTTTTTATTGCTACAGATGGTTCACAACTCTAATTCATTGTAACTACAGAATTAGACATTTGTGAAGCCTTGAAAAGCTACGATCAGGTAGAACACTAGAGTACAAGATACCAATGGACATCATACTAGTACTAATAGAGTATATGATACTAGCCTCTGGATTGAGCACACAGACAAGCAGGTCTGTCATTCTCGAACTTGTGACGGATGCTGCTTTCCACAGGCCTCCCTGGACACCTGGACGCGAGACCTTGAATTCCACGCGGGGCAGGTAAGCATGTGGGGCCTGGACGGCTCAACGGGAGCCTCCAGGGAATAGCACGCATCGTGTGTGTGTCTCCTGCGCGGATGCCCAGGGGACGGAGTCCGCAGCCTGTGGACGCAGAGCCCTCCTCCTCAGCCCCCCGCCTTTCCCCTCACCACCCTCACCTGATGCACCAGGCCCACCTCGGTGCAGGATGGCCTTGGCCGGCTGGGGCACCTCACAGTGCAGGTTGCCAGGGGCGAGGGAGCCGAGCTGGCCCGGGCAGGGCGGTGGGGTCCCTGGAGTGGCCCCGGCTCTTCGTGGGGAAGCTGGGTCTCAGGTCTGCGCGGATGACCTTCCCACGGGAATCGCGCTCCAGGCCCCGCGTGCGTCTCAGCCCGTGTTTGCTTCTGATTTGCAGGACAAAACGCCCAGAGAGCAAGAGAAAAAGGGGGACTTCCTTCCCCGGCCATGTCCCCAGAAGTTGGAGAAGCACCTGCCGGCGCCCAGGCAGCCCCCGGCCTCGCTGGTG